TGTTAAAATATACAATTTATTGGAACTAAGCTGGAAAAATAAATATGAAGGTAAATTAAATTATAAAACTTGAGGTTAAATTCTTTTTTAATTTATTTGGTGCATTTTAAACGTATTTATTTATTTAGTGGTTCATTTATATGTTTCTGCTTTTATTCCTAATTATGTCAGAGTCGGTCCTCCATACAGCAGAACTTGGAGGAGGTAGTTCAGTGACTGAATCAGGTGTGTTGGAGCAGAGAAACATGTAAAACATGTAGGGCTGCGGCCCTCCAGGGCCATGATTGCCCACCCCTGGTTTAGCATTTCTGTGTCTCACCAGCTCTGCCCTTTGGACCGAAGCTGTCTGTTAGCATCAGCTACTCAGGTAGCTGAACAAATGTGAACAAGTGAACTAAAAACCACACTGACTCATCATGAACACACATCATCATGACCTCTGTCTGATAAGGTTTCTGACTCATTTAGTGCAAATTCAACATCAGTTTGAAAGAAAAGATTTCTAAAATAAATAAAAATAAATTAGAAATTACCTCTTCGAGTTCAAACTTGGTGGAAAACCTGCTGGTTACTCCCTCTAACAGTGCAGCTGGATCACTGAAAAAAAAGGTTAAAATGATTTTAAACATCTGTTTATTAATAACTGTGCTGGAGTGAAGGACTCAGTTAATGAAAATGAAATGTTTAATCTAATTTAGTGTAGATAAGAGTTCAGGAAGCGTGTCTCCTACATGTTTATACTTTGATACCATCACTTCAGCTTCATGGTAACAGCTTAAACAGCAGAGACTTTATGATGGGAAACTAATGATAAGGCCTGAATAAACCACAGGACCTTTGTCCTTTGTGTCACGGTGCAGGATCATTGTGAAGCTCCTGCATTTTATGGTTTCTTTTATGGCTCTGCTCTGCTCCACCCACGGGTCATTACAGTGTCGAGGAGCCTCCGTTAAACAATTGGAAGCCACAGAAAAAAATAAAAATAAAACAGTTTCAGGGTTTCAGGTCAGGACACAGAGCTGTGAAACCAAAATAAGCATCAGCAGAGGAGTCGTCATCTGTAAATCTGGATTAGATCAACTTTGTCTTTCTGTTTGATCATGTGGGTAGCAAAATAACGCAAATAAAATGTAGCATGATTTGGCTCAGAAATGGTCTCGTAGCTCGCTCATCACAAACACCAACCTCTTTCCAGCAGTGGCAGCTCAGTCTCTGTGACCCCCTCTGACTATTACAAGCAGCTAACTTTGAGAGTTTTTATAAATCAATTTAAAACTTTTAGTTAGAGTTAACATTTTGGTAAGAATTGTTCACCGACAAAAAGGAAACTAAATCACAATCTAAAACTAAAACAGCCAATCCTGATCACCTGCCGAGCAGTCGATGAATCTTTACTGAATTGTCTTGTTGTTGTTTTTTTTGGGTTTTTTTAAGTAATCCAAGTCAGACTGTTCCTGGTTCTGTTCCTGGTTTGATCTCTACCTGAAACGAGTGATGTGGGGTAAATAAACCTCCACCTCTGCTCTGGCTCTCCAACAGGCCAGGGGTTGGTTTTATAAAACTGGCGTARGCACAATTTGAGCCCAGAAACTTGCGTACGCCACTTTTTACGCCAAGGTTGTAATTTATAAAATCCAAACTTGACGTGAAAATGTGCGGTGCCTCACAGCTCTGACCCATGCCTACGCTCATTTTGGAGACGTGAAACTG